GTTATCCTATATCAGAATTTATTTATTATGCAAGTCAATATTTTCCTAATAAAATTATTAACCAAATAATACCACTAATATTTCTCTGAGTATTATAATGTGTGTTTCAACTGATAATGTCTGTCATTTATTAGAATAATTGATAATGATATCTTTTGAGCTTGTCGCTTTTCATCATGCAAACTAACTGTCGCATAATTCATTATCAATAAATTCTAAGATTTTTATGAAGATCGCTTGAGGCATGAAACTGACATTCATGTAGCGATTGGTCGAATAGAAGAGCAGACCAATCTCTCTTACCGTCGGTGACAACCAGCCTAGGAAAAAGGACAGCACTTAAATAAAAACCATGACCAAACATTTAACTTGTCAGCAATTATCATACTCATGCAATGAATTGATAGCCATTATGTAAGTATGTAGGTGACACCAGTTAATTAAGAATAAATTATAATATTGACAAAGACAAACTTATACAATACAAAACATTATTATACTTTTGAAAAAATTGTACCCATATTCTGGGATTAAATTCTTTACTATATAGTTTTGTTCATTATATATTATTTTTTATTACTTACTATGTAAAACAGTTGCACTAATAATAATTGTAAAAGAATCCCACATGTCATCGGCTCTGGCACTGAATTACGCGGGCAACACCATGTGTCTTTGTTCCGACATACACATCATTGAGGTGTTCAATCGAAAAACATTAAGTCCAGCGAGTTTTCACAGGATGGGAGGATGATATCCTTGATGGGATCAATGGATACATGTTAGTAAACAAGGCAGCCTTCAAGTCAGAGAACATCGGCTGCTGTCTGATCTGAAGAGGGATAGGCTCCGCCAGGTTTCCTTTGTCTAAGACCTACTACAAATGATTGAATACTTACTGCGTTATGTGCAGGGAAACGTTCAGCTGCCCAGCTGCCCAGCTGCAAAGCGATACTACGACTACCCTCGGCCATATGACTGATGATGATAATGAATGATGATGACGAAGATATATATATATATATATATATATATATATATATGAAGGACAGTTGTCTGTGTGTGTGTCTGGCTAAAACGAAAAAAACTACAATAAATACCGACAAAATAAATATATAGAGAGACTCATTATTACCCAATCCACCCTTTTGTAAAACAATTATCATCGTATGATATGCATTTACGAAGATATTTTAAAATTAAAATCACGTAATAATTGCATCAGAATGCATTCGAAATTCTCAGAATTAAAACGTAAAAACGAACGTGAAAAATTCTTATTCTGTTCGTTTTTACTTTTTAATTCTGCTGATGATTTCGCAATCCCATATGTGTATTTAATCTATAGTAAATAAAACGTAACTTCAAAAATGAATATTAAAACAACAAAGTCAATTTAACAGAAGAAGAATATTAAATATTCGAAGTAGAAATTGTACAAAGCCAACTTAATAAATTCCCGTAGATATTTTGTGGGGGGAATTTTCAGTAGCTTTAATAGAATCAGATATTCAAAGAATATATAAGTTAGGTACCTCCACGAGATCGCTAAAAAAAAAGGGCATAGCATAATGAAAAAGACGCCAAACTTGACGAAAACAAAATTTTGTCTAAATTTTTATGTTATTATTAAGAGGAAAGATCAAAGTAATCTTGATGTATTTGTTTACATTTTTTAATTCTTCCTAGCACGTCCGAAATTTTCGTTAAAAATCTTGTTTTTTTTTTTTTGAGTCAGCAAAATTGACCATATTTTTCCATTTTATAAAAAAACTGGAAATATCACTTTGATATTCGTTTAAATATCAATTATCAATTTTCAAAACTTATTTTAAGAAAATCAGAAATTATAATGTTTATTTAAAATATTTTGAACCAAGCTTATCTTAGCTTAGCATCTGCACCGAAAAGATGTAATTTGAAGATAGAACAAAGCAGGTCATAAACTTTCGCGTCACTTGGCAGGTGATGAATGACATATTGACGGATTCCGTGAGGGTAATTTGTTCTAAGGAAGAAGAAAAGTGAAATAATTTACATTTAAGTGTACAAATTATTTACCGCGTTATTATTAAGGGAAACTTTCAACGCTCTATTTTTTTTTCTTTTTGTACTTAGCTTTCACCTTTACGTTTACGATGCTTTATGGGAAATATATTAAAAGAGATTAAAATAAGACTGTTAAGAGTGAGATTAAATTTCATATTTCATAAGAAAGGTATCTAATTAATTTATAGGTACCTTTCTTATGAAATTTTATCAGAATTTACATAAAATACTATAATTTTATGTACATTTATTATATTTTACTGCGTTATTTGTATTTCTATTCATTTTATTGTTAATTTTGATATTTCATTTATGGAAAAAATGTCATAACTGAGATTAATATAAAAATAAGATCATATAAATTTCATAAGATGATACTGATACTTGTAGGTACTCTTCTCAGTTGAAATTGAAAAATCAAATTTACTTCTCCACACGTGTTTCGCAAAAGTAAAGGCCTTAACAGCGGAGAACAATGCTTAACTCAAATAACGCAACTTAATTGTATTCTGGTTGGTCTTCCGTACTTTATAATTACAGCCCGATTATAAACACAAAATTACATTTCTTAATTACTGTGGATCTTCTGATTAGTCAAAATGATACAATTTACAACGCGCTAAAAAAAGATCTATCTCATAAGGAGAGTAAGGAAACCCGATGCGTCTTTTAACTACTTTTATAATATTTTAACAACTTAAATTTAAAAATCTATTATAATTAAGAAATAAATAATTGTATTAAAAATTCATTTTTCATCGAAAAAATGTTTTGCTTTCAGAAAATATTGTCCTTATTCATAAAAACAACTAAAAGCAAATAAAAGCATTTGAAATTAAATAATATATTTGTTTTATTGAGTTTTGTATGTTACAATTCAGAGCAGATTTTCAGGTAGGGGTGTCCAATTAAAAACAAAAAAAAACATGATTTGCATTCCTCCAAGCTTTGTGCTTTTTAACTATTGTTCCGTTTAGGATACAGGTTCGAATCCTGTCTGTCGGAGGACGAATATTTTCTTTGAAAATTTCTTGGACATTCAGGCCGGTAAATGTTGTTTAATACTGTTTATTATAAACAGAGCATTTACTTAAATATTTGTATCTATAAAAAGAATGTATAAACATAAAAATGTCTTAAATCAGAGCTCTACGTAAAATAACAGAAGTTTTATTTATACTATTTGTTCCTGAGTGTTTAGGGCAAATCTCAGTTTTCATGAATGGGGTAATCGCCAAGAACAAATTGAAATTTCTTTCAATTTGTGGCCCAATGTGCATAAAAATATGTTTTCTATAATACCCAGGTTGTTTTCCCAATTATTTTATATAGAAAAGTACATATTATAGGGAGTATAATATGTTTGGTATTGATATGTGGGTAGCGTAACTGTTATTGAACAGAAAGTGGAACAGGCGAAACGAATTCAAATTTTACTGTGTTCTTTTCGTACTAATGCCCTCAGGAAAGATAGGAATCTATTTCATATTATTGGTCTAAATAGTAGAGTAGATTAAGAGCTTTGTAGACGTGGATAGTAACCAATCGATGAGAAGGATGTGTGGAGAGCCATGATCAACGAAAATATTTTGGATTTTCTTCTTTTTGTTTTTATTTTTGTTTTACAATTTCTTTTTTTTCTTTGACTTCATTCTTGATAATTAAGAAATCAATATGAGTCTACGACTATTGGGTCAGCCGTTGAGACCATGAAGCTATTGCTACCCGAAAGAGACGCCATATCGTGTCATTAAATTCCTTCTTGTTTTTTTGTTTTTTCAACTACCTCTACGTTTTTCTCCCTTTTCTTCAATGCCCCCTCTCTCTCTTTTTTTCTCCCTTTCTACCTTATTGCTCTTTTTTATTTCCTCTCCCCTTATTTCTCTTCCCTTTAGACGTACTTTCTTTCTTTCTTTTCATTCTCATTATTTCTTTACTTTTCTTCTCTTTTTCTTCTTTTTTAAGTTTCAATTCATTTTTATTCTTCATTTTTTTCTGCTTTCTGAAAACTACATCATTCTCACTCTTGTTTTTTTTTTCTCATTCGCAAATTCTTAATCACTTGTAAATCATTAAAAATTTCTTGTAAATGTCTTCGTTTCTTCATTTTTAAATCATATTATAACTTTTTCTTTTTCCTTCATTTTTCCGTACTGCTGTTACTTCTTTCAACTTCTTTTTTAGCTTTTTCATTCATCCCGTCTATTATTTCTATCCAAGTTCTTACACTGCACCATTCTTTATCATCATTTTCTTCTTGCATTCGATTTTCGTCCTTCATTTTATTTCCATTTTTATCCATTCACAACTTTATATATATTTATATTTATTTCTCTCTTTTTCTTTCTTCGACTTCTTCTTTCTGTCTTCAACCATTTCTTCGTCTTCATGTTCGATTTTAGTTCAAACCTATTCTCTTTCTCTACGCTTCCGTTTAAGATGATCATATTCCGAGTGTGTCGGGTTTAGATCGAACAGCGAGGAGAAAAATCAATGTTATATGTAATCTATTCATGTATTGCAAATGACTCAACATGGGATCGAACCTGACAAGGAAAATCGAGTAGAGTAAGAATAAGTTTCTTTTTTTTTTTCTTTTTTTTCTAATTGTTTAAAGGAAGAACATACGCTAAGTCACATGTCAAGTCACGTGTCATGTCAGGTAAAGCTGGCCAACATTGTTCACTCAATTAATCCAGCTTATATATAATTGAAAAAATATTTTATTGCCAACGTCCAATCAGAAGTAAGCGTAGTTTGAATGAGTTTTATTCTAAAAGGTGCTAAATAGAGACACGAATACAACAGTTTTTTTTACCCTTTTCTTTTTCTTGTTTGCTTAGAATGACACTCTCACACACATGTGTGTCTGTGTATGTGAGAGTGTCATCCCAAACAAACACAGAAGTTAATTCATCCCTCTAACAGACACAAAAAAATCAAACACAAAT